GGCGGGCTCGGCGCCCCGCAAGGGGCTCACCGTGAGCCGCGGCGCTTCTTCCAGAACCCCGACAGTGGCGAGTACGAGTTCCGGTACATATTTGTGGAAGTCGACTCCTACCCAGGAAGAACCATCATCGTTGAAGATAACCGGCCCTGAGGCGATGACGCTGCTGCCGCACCCGGCTCTGACGTCACCCCGCGGGCCCCGGGCCGGCTCCGGCCGCGCGTCCAGACCGGCGAGGGGAGGTTTGTGTGAGGCTGAGGAGTGCCGAGCGCGAGCGCGGGCCCGGGACCAGCCCAGGCCAGAGGTCGTCGCCCACAGGCTTCTGCTCTGACTCGTTTCTTGGTGAGAAGCCTTTTTTACTACAAATTGACTCCGGGAAAAGTAAGGGTCTTTTCCTCTTACTTTTTATTTTTCTTCAGTATTTTTTGCTTTTAAAATAATGTAACTGAATAAAGTGTGAAATAAGCAAACGAAGCAAAAGCGGTGTCCAGCGTTCATGGTTTATTGAACTGCTTGTTTTCAGCCCTTTCCCGGCCTGGCCCCCTGGGGTCAGGCAGCCACCTGGGCGGGGAGCTCAGGGTCCCCCGAGGCGGAGCCTGGGCTCACCCCACTGGGGAGGGCCACCCGGTGCTGCTCATGGCGCGCCCACAGTCCATGCTTAGGAGCCCCGGCCGCCTCCTCCAGCGGCATGAGCTTATGAGTTACTTTGGTGACCAGAAGTAAAACTCTTCGAAAAGAAGCTGCTCCGAGGAGGCTGTGTGGCTACGGGCGATGTCCGTCAGGCTTCAGAAGCCTGTCTTCCCTCCTCACGTAACGGGCGCTACATGTTCCGTTGGTCTTTTTTGAAGAGCTGCTCCAATGAGCTTGTGCTTTCTGGTTCCGATTCCGGCATCTCGTCCTCGGGCGCAGCCCCCGTTTCCTCCTAAATCTGAGCCCTGCGGACATTCTGACCGTGGTCACCTCCCCATCTCATCTACACGAACTCAAAACAGTTCCCCCCAAGACCGGTGTTGTTCAGCCCCCACCAGTAGCCTCGTCAGGATGCCGGGTAGGGCCGCCTTCCCCCCCGGAAGCCGCCTCCTGGCCGAGAGCCGCAAGGTGAGGCAAGATGGCCGGGTATGCCCCGACAATGAGGCCCCAATCCCGCCCTGCCCCGGCTGCTCTGCGTCAGCCCTAGTGACCTTCCACAGCACCGCTTTTGTTGTGTGGCCCCAGCCTGACAGCTCCCAGCCAGCTCCCAGGTGTCCACGTGGCCATTACACTCAGCGTGGCGCTGACGTGTTCCGTCTGCTGGGTTTCCCAGAGTATGGGGTGTGTCACTATGTGGGCATCCCTAAGCAGAAACCACGTCCCGGGGTTCTGTCCTCGAGGGCTGCCAGAGCTCCTGAGGGCTGGGGTTTCGGCGCACCCCTCTGGGGAGGCTCAGTGTAGGCCATAAAACTGGAGGATGTCCCTGCTTGTGGTAAAATGCAGTAAAGGATTTGAAGTCCTGAGACACCGAGTCGCAGCTTCCAGGAGTGGGGGAGAGGCACCCTCAGGATCGCCATCCCTTGCGATCTACCATAAGAGTTTAAAAGATTTTTCCAAAAATGCACAAAATGATGTAAAAATAAACTTAAAATTCAAAAAGTTAAAGACTTTTCAAAAAAATGTAAGATCGTCATCCAGGGGCATTTGACATCTTGCAAATGGGGAGGTGAGCACAGCACCCTGGAGGGATGCACGGCCGCAGCGCCTTGGGCTCTCAGCTTCTGGCCACCCAAGCTCAGCCCAGGGGGCCCCCAGATGAACCCCACGCAGAGCAGCCTTCAGCGCAGCCCTGCTGAGTGCTGGCGAGAGTCTCAGTATTCTGCAAGGAAAAGATCCTAGAAAGTATAGAATATTTAGCGCCTGCTGTCTGTTCTGTCTCACTTGAGGAGCTTTCTCATCTGTCCGCAGTGCTCCTGGCTCCGGGGACAGATGGTGGAGAGGAGGAAGGAGACCTAGACAGGAGGCTGGCGCGGGAGCCCAGAGCGCGGCCCGGCCCGCGCCAGCCTGAGTCGGCCTCTGTCCTTGAGCCCTGCCCTTCACGCCTCTCAGTAGGCTAAAGCCCACCCACCTAATCCACTAAAGGGGTGCTGTTTCCGCGGGGAAATGCCAGCAGCACATTAGTGCCATCACCCCACCGAGCCCCTGAGCAGGGAGGCGCTGACGATGGGAGGGGTCGCCCAGCATTTCCATTTTCCTAAAGGTGGGGTGTGCCCCCTTTTCTGAGAGGCGGACCCCGAGCCCACCCGCAAGCCCACGCTGCCCCCAGGGCTGGCAGCGCCACACCCACACCACGCTTCTGGCTCCGGCCGGCCCAAGACGTGCTGTCACCTTGCTGAGAAGGCTGCGGCCGCTTCCCCGGAAGGCACCCAACCCGTCACGCCGGCCCACCTCGGGAGGGGGCCGTTCTCCGCTCCCAGCACCTGAGACTTACTTAGCCAGCAGAGGAACGGTGTCGAGGAGGGTCCAGAAAAGGCCAGGGGCCGTGCGACTCAGTGGCTTGGTGCTGCTGGCTTGGACACCTGTCTTGGGCCCTCTCCCCATCCTGCTCCAAACTGGGCGGCCACCTAGAGGTGCCAGCGTGCTTCCCCCGCTGTGGCCACTAGAGGGCCACGGCCACCCACTCTGAGGGACTGCCGCGCCTCTGGTCCCACCGGGAGCATTATTTACCCTCCTGCAGCCTTGTAAAGAGGCCGGTTTTGGCCCGTGTTGTCCTTGATATTCCTTTTGTATCGTGTGCACTTCGATTTCAAGACCCCGAGCACGTCCAGGTCGGTTTGCAGTAGCATTTCACCGACCTCCGTGTGTTCGGCACAGTTGAACGTCGCAGCTCGCGTTCTGGGAGGGTCTGTGTGGGCCGCGAGGCCGGAACACTGAGAAAGGCTCACCCCGACCTTCCAGCACAGGCAACCGGCCGCCCATGGCCACCACGGTGAGGGCAGCGTCGGAGTGGACGGCGTGGGCGGAGGGCGGGGGTGTGGCAGTGGGCCCCGGCGCCTGGCTGGCCCAGCAAAGCCCCACACAGAGGCCACAGAGGTGATCTCACCCCGCAGGGCGCTGCCCGCGGTGGGGGCCGAGCTCCGCACACAACCACCGCGGACTTGTGAGCAGGATCTGAGGACGCTAGGAATCTGGGGTGATGTGGAGGTGCTGACATCTCTCCCCACTAGAAACATCATCGTCTAACACCCCTTAAGAAGCACTTTAATTTTAGAAAGAGTGAAAACCAAATGCGTTTTCTCCAAAGCCACCAGCCCGGTCAGGGAAGCCAGTGGCCCCCAGGCTCGGGCGACCTCTCTTAGGCGGGAAGAGGATGTGTCTTCCCTCTGCTTTGTACGCGAGTGTACAGAGCAGCACACACACACTCACACAAGGGCGGGAGCGAGCCGGGGACACTCGCCAGGCCCGAGGCCTGCTCCCTTTGTTCCACTCACCCCTGCCCCGCTCCGCCAGCTCATAGAGAAGGGCGGCCAGGCGAGCGGGGGTCGGGGCTGGCGTCCTCTGCCCTTGTGCCCCGCAGCTCCCGGGTATAAACCTGAGCCATGCTCGCTGGACGTGGCGGCCAGCCTGGACACCACTCCTGCCACAATCACCCCTTTATTTAAAATGAAGCCACATCACATCACAACACGTGAGTGTCCAGGGTGCATCCCTGAGGTCAGTGTGTGTCCCCACCAGGTCATCACCCGGAGTCCGACCTCCCTTCCCTCAGCCACTGGGGTTTGCTGCTCCCCTTCTGGTCACCATCCATGGTCTTAGGGTCCGAACGTTTATTTTGTCTTGACATGGCTGGGCTGTTTGTGCGGACACACAGCAGGCCCGCCTCCCAGACACCAGCAGCAGAAACCTCCCGCGAGCCGGGCTTGAGCACGAGGGGTAAGGAAGTCGAGGGGGCAGTGGGTACAGCCCCAAGGTCGGGGGGCCAGAGCAGACTGGGCAGGCCGCCTGGCACACACAGCCCACCTGCGTGCCGCCTCCCAGAAAGTCTTGCGCGGCGCGCTGACCCCAGCGTCTCCGAACACGACCTGGAGAGAGCCTGTCTCATGACGCCGGACTCGGAAGCACGCCTCGGCGTCTGAGAGGAAGCCCGCGAGGACCTAAGCGCCAGGAAGGAGGCCGGGTCCGCTCTGAGCGCCTCGCTGGCGTGG